CAAACTGGTTAACATAGCCTTCATGTCATTTTCTTAGTTATTATTTTAAAACATTCACATTCTACTCTTAGAAAGATTCACTTGTACCCTTGTAAGATAAACCTCAAAAGTGATCCCTCCAATCCCCCTCCCTCACCTGGTCTCCTTGCCACAACCCACACTCCACACAGCAGCCAGCAGCCACTTTTAACATGCATATTCTCTATCTTCTCAAAACTCTCTAATTATTTCCCTTTGCTCTAGGCCTATCAGGTCCTCACACATCTGGCCTCCACTAAAGCTCCAACTACATTCTATAATACTTCCCAGTGAAGGCTCCCTTTGTTTATTGCTGCCATGTTAGCTTCCCTTCTGTTTCCTGATTACTTCACATTTTCCTGCCTTAAGGCTTCTGCACTCCCTGCACTCCCTCCTCCCACAACTCTCCTTCTCTTCTTGCTTTTAACAAAGCTGGCTCCTTCCCATCTGTTCTCAGCCCTGGCCCCCCTCAGGCGCCCTAGCCTCACACCATCAGAAGTTAGGAGCCCAGGCCCCAACATGCCTGCCAGAGCTTGCTACCCTCCCATCTTCTACAGCTGTGCTGCCAAGGCACTGGGAGTCCTATCAGGCCTGCTGCCTACAGATGGGCAAGCAGTCCCCATTCCTCAGCCAGCCCCCAGCCCATCTGTTCCACCCTGCTCACCCGACAGGAGCTGTGGGTACTTGGTGTGGATAAGGTTGGTAAGGTCACCACCATCGTCTAAAACCATGTTGAGAGGCCCATCCTTGAAGTACAACGTCTGCTCAATGCACCACAGGTATTCCTCGTCTGTCTCACCCTTCCAGGCATACACTGGAAAATAAGTGGCATATCAGGGCTGGGCCTTCCCCATGAGTACCTGCTCCAGAGAACTCTGGCAAAGCCATTATCGTCTCCCTCCCAACTCTCAGCCCCAGCCACCTCCAGCCCCTCTAAGGATTCAGCAGTGGTAAGAAGAGAACTTGGAACCAGAGAGATCTGAGTTCAACTTCAGTCTCTGCCACTTCCAGTTATGTGACCTTTGGGTAAATCACTTCACTTCCCTGAGCCTGTTCTCTCCTCTAGAAATGAGGCTCACAACAGTATGGATTAAGTGAGATACTAGCCCCACGTAGCCCCCCAGATATAGGTGTCAAGAAAAGATTATTTCCTTTCCTATCCCCTTCTACTGGGACCCTAATGATTGGGGCATCAACCCACAGTGACTAGGGCTCTCACCCACAATGCCTACAGCCACTGTGGGTCCTACAATGTCTCCTCCTCAGAGGAATCCACAAGGCAGGATCCAGAGTTTGTTTTGCACTGAAAGCGCTTGAGTGCCAAGCAGCCGCCTCTGTGGTCTCAGACAAAGTAGGGTAAAAAAATTACTAATAGTAGCTACCATGAATGGGGCACTTTCTCTGTGCCAGACATTACTGCTTCATGTCCCATATAATTTTTTCACATAGAAACCCTGTGAGGTAGGCAATACCATCATTGCCCGCTAAGGACACCCAGAAAGGGCCTAAGATGCACTGGGATGGGTCACTTGGGATGGCATTCCAGAGTAGGCACCAGAACTAAGGGCTACTGCTTGCCAGCCTATGCTCCTCCCTTCATATGGTATGGCTGGGACACAGGTGTGAGGCTCCCAGGAGCCTCCTGTGAGCAAACTACACCAGCCGGCTCGGCGCCTATGGCTCAACCGGCTAAGGCGCCAGCCACGTACACCTAAGGTGGCGGGTTCGAATCCCCAGCCCGGACCCGCCAAACAACAATGACGGCTGCAACCAAAAAATAGCTGGGCGTTGTGGCGGGCGCCTGTGGTCCCAGCTACTTGGGAGGTGGAGGCAGGAGACTCGCTTGAGCCCAGGAGTTGGAGGTTGCTGTGAGCTGTAATGCCACGGCACTCTACCCAGGGGGACAGCTTGAGGCTCTGTCTCAAAAAAAAAAAAAAAAAAACTACACCAGCCAAGCAAGGCTGGCTGTTCCTCTACCCAATTGGAGCAGATAATGGTTTTAAAAACAAAGCTTTTCCCAGAAGAGGGCCATGAAGCCCAGCCAAGGCTGAGCAGTGGGGACTGGGCCCATCTAGCCTGTGGAGAAGTTCTCCCCCTCCACCCATGAATGCTTAGAAGGAATCTTGAATGTCTTTTTCATTATCTTTTATTTTTCTTGAGAGAGCCTCACTTTATTGCCCTGGGTAGAGTGCTACGGCATCACAGCTCACAGCAACCTCAAATTCTTAGGCTTAAGTGATCCTCTTGCCTCAGCCTCCCAAGTAGCTGCAACTATAGATGCCCACCACAACACCCAGCTATTTTTTTTTTTAGAGACGGTCTCACTCTTGCTCAGGTGGTCTCAAACTCATGAGCTCAAGCAATTCACATGCCTAGGCCTCCCACAGTGCTAGGATCACAGGATTGAGCCACCACACCCAGCCTGAATGTCCCTTTTTGTTTTTTAAGACAGAATATCATCAAACTGTTGCCCAGGCAGAACCCCATCACATATCCCATATGGCCCAACAACAAGCAGGACTCACCTGGAATGCCCGCCTTGGCAATGGCAGCTGCTGCATGGTCCTGGGTGGAGAAGATGTTGCAGCTAGACCACTGTACCTAGAAAAGCCAGCAAAACAGGACTATTGTTACTGACAGCTTGGAAAGACCAGGGTCACTGCGCAGGGATAGGAGAAATCCCTTGGGATAAAGGGATCAAGTTCCAGCCAGCTCTAGGACCACAGGCTGGGGATTTAGGATGAGTGGATAGGAGCTAAAGCAGTGGCAAAATCCTTCACTCTGGTGCTGTGCAGAAGGAAAAGGATAAAGCAAGAAGAAAAATGAAGAAGCTGTTAAAGAATAGTCCAGAGGAGAACTATAATGTTAGCAGCAGGCCTGTCAGGAAGCTGTCAAATCCAAGGTATATTCTGAAGGGTGAGCTGTCAGGATTTGCTGAGGGATTAGTCTTCCAGGTGAGAAGTAAAGAACGCGGCTCGGTGCCTATAGCTCAACCGGCTAAGGCGCCAGCCACGTACACCTAAGGTGGCGGGTTCGAATCCCCAGCCCGGACCCGCCAAACAACAATGACGGTTGCAACCAAAAAATGGCCGGGCGTTGTGGCGGGCGCCTGTGGTCCCAGCTACTTGGGAGGCGGAGGCAGGAGACTCGCTTGAGCCCAGGCATTGGAGGTTGCTGTGACCTGTGATGCCACAGCCCTCTATCCAGGGGGGACAGCTTGAGGTTCTGTCTCCAAAAAAAAAGAGAAGTAAAGAATGCAAGGGTAACCATGAAGTTTTGGGGGTTTTTTTGTTTGTTTGTTTGTTTGTTTTCACAGAGTCTCAGTCTGTTGCTCCAGGATAGAGTGCTATGGCCTCAGCCTAGCTCAAATTCTTGGCTCAAGCCATCCTCCTGCCTCAGCCTCCCAAGTAGCTGGGACAGGCACTTGATACAATGTCCAGCTAAGTTTTTGTTTTAGTAAAAATGGGGTCTCACTTTCTCGGGCTGGTCTCAAACTCATGAGCTCAAGGGACCCACTTGTCTCGGCCTCCCAGAATGCTAGGATTACAAGTGTGAGCCACTATAGCCTGCCACCTCCAGGTTCTTGAAACAAGCGAACCTGAAAGGTAGGAGTTTCCATTTACTCACATGGGGAAGGCATTGGGAAGAGGAGAGGGCAGAAAATCATAACTTTGTTTAGATGTGTTCAGCTTGAGATGTATATTAGACCGCCAAGTAGAGATGACACATCAGTAGTTAGGTATGCAAGTCTGGACTTCCAGGGAGAAGACCAGGCTAGTATATACATTTGGAAGTCATTACCGTATAGATAGTATTTAAGGCCATAAAATCAGATCACCAAGAGAGTAAATGTTTTAAAGAAAGAACTCCTAGGATCCAGTCGTGCAATACCATGGTTTGGGCTCCAGTGCCCTGCCCCACTTTAAGAAACCATGTAGCTCCTTGACTCCCTGACATCAAGGAAGTCTTGATCTACCCAGGGCAAAAAAGTGAGACTGTCTCAAGAGAAGAGCCGTCTTGGAAGAGCTGTCAATCATTGGCACACAGGAACGAGGCTAAACCAATCAGAGCATGCCAATCCTTCTAGCAGCCATGATTGGTTCAGAACAGGCACATGACCCTAGGACGGCCAATAAGTACCAGTCCTTGAATGACTAACTGCGACAGTTGGAATTAAGTGTTTACTCCTAGAGCTCCTAGTCAGGAGCACGTACTGGGACCGGTCAGAAAACGCCTTTCCAGTCAGGGAGAAAATCTGTGGAAGAACATACAACAAAGGGCAGAGGCACTGAGAGACGGAGAGGAAACCCCAGTGAGGAGGAACCGTGCTTGGCCTGAGGTAGGCGCCACACCTGGACTTCTCCCCACTGCCCCCAGCTGTCCTCTTCCCTGGTGGAACCAAGACAGGACAGGGGACAGGCTGGGTCACACAGCAGTGGGCCTCACCTCAGCACCCAGGGCGATGAGGGTCTCGATGAGGACGGCCGTCTCCACAGTCATGTGCAGGCAGCCTGCGATGCGGGCGCCCTTCAGGGGCTTGGAGGCCGAGTACATCTCCCTCATGCGCATCAGGCCCGGCATCTCGTTCTCCGCAAGGTCCATGGCCTTGCGTCCCCAGTCCGCCAGGCTGATGTCAGCTAGGAGGGAAAAGGAGGGGGAAGCTCCATGAGTCTGCTGCCTCGCCTCACACGCCAAGAAGCAAAGTCACCACGTGTAGATCCTGACAGGGCTTTTCCTCCTTCAACAAGTATTGATGGGGCCAGGGTAGTCAAGTCAGACCCCGTCCCTGCCTAACTGTGGCTTGCTACCTTGTGGGAGAACACATTTAACCAATCACACATGGACATGAAAACTACAACTCAGAGAGGCGTGTCTTTGAAAAATAACTATCAGATGGTACCTCCCACTGCCCTTCCTTTCTGCTGATACCTACCAACCTTTATGTCACTCTGTATTCCCTAAAGATTTTAGCTAAGTCATCACTCTTAAGAGATTCAACAGTCATAAACATGTGTATGATCTAACTTCTTGGACTTGACACAGTTCCTTGATCTTGAAGATGTGAAAATGCTTCTTCCCCACTCCTGATGTTTCTTTCCACACAGAGGGAACTCATCAGTATAATGCCCTAGGGGAGGCAGAGTGGGCTCTAATTAGTAAATTTGAGAGGAACAAACTAGACATGCTCAGTTCCGCTCTCCCTTCTTTTTGCAAGCAGTCACTTACTTGCCCAACGGCAATAAGTTGGTATTCACTCCTCTCCCACATAAAGAGACCTACCTAGCCCACTTTGTCTGAAACTGGTAGGTTAACTGCTGAATTTGGGGGGTTCAGTTAGCAGGGTCATTTGATTTTCATGCTAAACTAACCTAGATCCTTCAGCTTTTTTCTTTTCTTTTTTTTTTTTCAGACAGTGCCTCAAGCTGTCCCCCTGGGTAGAGTGCCATGGCATCACAGCTCAGAGCAACCTCTAACTCCTGGGCTCAAGTGATTCTCCTGCCTCTGCCTTCCAAGTAGCTGGGACTATAGGCGCTCACCACACGCCCAGCTATTTTTTGGTTGCAGCCGTCATTGTTGTTTGGCGGGCCTGGGCTGGATTCGAACCCACCAGCTCAGGTGTATATGGCTGGCACCTTAACCATTTGAGCCACAGGCACTGAGCCAGCTTTATTCTTTTTTGAAGATAGTCTCACTCTGTTGCCAGGGTTAGAGTAGCATCATAGCTCACAGCAACCTCAAACTCCTGGGTTGAAATGATCATTCTGCCTCAGTGTCTTGAGTAGCTGATACTACAGTCACAGTCACCTGTCACGATGTCTGGCCAGATGGGGTCTCACACATCTGAGCTCAAGCAATCCACCCTCCCAGAGTAGTAGGATTGCAGGCATGAGCACCACACCCAACCTCTCCTGGAAACCTAGATTCAATAGGTCTAAGATGGGGCCTGGGACTCCTGGTGATTTTTATTGTTAGGGACGCTTAGATCCTGCCAATCACCCAAGGAGGTAGAGAATAGAGGGAAAGAGAGAAAGGACTCCGCAGAGAATTTAATAATTATAAAACTAAGTCTGCTTCCTAAAGTGCATCTAACAATTTTCAGAAATGAAATACACATTCCCCATGGAAGGTACTGCCCCTAATGCACCTCAACACAGCCTTTTCCTCATAACCACCACCCTCCACTGTAACCCTGCTAACTTCTACAATAATAGCTCTACCCTGGAAATCTGGATTCCAAGGAACCAACTCTGGCCATGTCCCACCTTTCCAATTCTCTCTCCAGAGCCCCAATTCCAACAAGGCTGTGGCCTGTCAGGTCAAAACCACTAATCCATTAATCCTACCAATTTCCACTCACCCCTCTGCCCTCATTCCCTTTGAGAAGTCAAAGGGGAAACTCTACCCCAGTTAAATCCAACCCTCCACTGCACTTAAGCCATAGAACCCTGCAGGAAAATCACAACCCCACCAAGAAGTCTCATTTATTATGACCATAAATCTCAAGAACGCATAGCACATTGCAGCAATCCTGTTATATCTTCCTAGTAAATTTACTCTACTTTTTCTACTGTCTCCAAACTTCTAACACCTTTCCCTATTGACTGACAACTTTGCTTCATAATTCATTGAGAAGAATTCAGAACTATGCCACCTTTCCTCTATGGAATCCACTAGTCTTCCTCATCTGTAGCTACAGATGAGGTATTCTTTTCTGTGAAAATAGATGCGTTGTCCCTGCTTTTGGGGGGCCAACTCCCTACCCTCTCACATCAAAGACTTCACTATTCCACTGAAACTGCTCTTCTCAAGGTGTTAGGAGACTAGCCTGATCCCCACCTCTGATAACCTATGTTCATGTTTCTCTCAGCAGCATGGACCCCACTAATTAGTTTTCTTCCTGAAACCCTTTCTTAGCATCTATGGCTCTGTCCTGTGCTTTTCCATGTCTACCTTCCTGGTTGCTCTTTATCTACATAACAGACTCTAATGCCTGGGAACCCTCAAGGCTCCATCATCTCCCTCTTCTTACTAGATGAGCTCATCCAGTCTTATGGCTATTTAAATACCTTCTCTCCAGCCAAGACACCCACATACTTATCTGCAGCCCAAATTTCCCCTGGAAAATTAACTGGAGACTCATAAATCCAACTGCTTACTCAGTATCTCTACTTGGATGTCCAATGAATCTATTAATCTATTATGTGTCAAGGTTGAGCTCCCATGACTTCTGGCCCTGCGCTGACATTACTCCCCTACTCCTCCCATTTTAGGAAAAGAAACCACCATACAACCAGCTACTCTGGCCAAAAAAACTTGTGTATTCATTTCTTGATTCTTCTTTTCTCCCTTTCACTTCTACCAACAGTTTTTCTTCACATCCCAAACATACATGCAATCCAACTGCATCTCGCCACCCTCACGTAAACTGCCACTTCTCAGTCAGACACTGACAAAGCCATATAACATTTTACCCCCCAGCAGCCAGACAGGGGTAAGCTTTAAAAAATTATAATTTTTGGCTCGGCTCCTGGAGCACAGGTTATGGCACTAGCCACGTACACCAAGGCTGGCACGTCCGAACACAGTCTGGGCTAAACAATGACAACCACACAAAAACTACAGGTGTTGTGGCGGGTGCCTGTAGTCCCAGCTACTCGGGAGGCTGAGGCAGGAGAATCGCTTAAGCCCAAGAGTTTGAGGTTGCTGTGAGCTGTGAGGCCGCAGCACTCTAACAAGGGCAACATAGTGGGAGTCTGTCTCAAAAAAACAAAAACATCATAGTTTTACCACTTCCACTTTGTCTATCAATACTAAAGTAAATAAACATAACAAACCACCAGTGGGGCTTGGTAACCCATAAATAAAATCCTGCTCCTCACCTGCCCTTCAGGGCCACACCTCACTGGCTACTCAGCACACAGACCTATCTCTGTGCAAGGTAAATTCATTCCCAACTCAGCTCTAACCTGAGCAGTTCTCAGCCTGGAAGGCTCCTTCCAAGTACCCAATACAGTATAGCACACAATAGATGCTCAAAAAAAACCCCTGAAAAAAGGAAAGAACTTGGTATATTCCTGGTAAAGGAACAGAGAGTATGCCAGGATAATTCAAAAAGAAGGAGTAAGAGGAGTCAGGATTTTACTCCCAGCAAGTGGGAAGCCTACAGAATTTTAGGGGGGTATCATTCAAAGATCAGATCTGTCGGCTCGGCGCC